CAAATCTGGCTCCAGACACTTACTAGACACTTAGCAAAGTGCCTGACACATAGTAGGTGCTATACAAATGCTTATTTCCTTATTGTCCCCTCTGCCTTGATGTTCACTGGATAGGGAGTGCAATGGGAGGGCCTATAGAATACCAAGTTCCTGCCATGCTCCTTACCCTAGCCTTGTGTGGCCCTAGCCTAGCCCAGGTCCCTCTCTCCTCAACATTTGCTTCCTCTCACACCCATCCCCCAAGTTGGGCCAGAATCTCAGCCTAAGAGGGGATAGAGAAAGAAGTACTATGTCTAGAACTATTTACTTCTCCCCAGGGGGCCTAGAGAGCAGGGCAGCATACAAAATGGTTGGTGGCAGGGGTCATAGGATAGATTGCTTTACACATGTTTGCATGTTATCTCCCCCATTGGATAGTAAGCTCTTTGAGGGTAAGGATTGTCTTTTGCCTCTTTTTGTATCCCCAGTGCTTAGCAAGGTGCCTGGCACATTATTATGTTTAGTATTATTTTATTTATTTATAATATTATTTATTATTATTAAATAAATGTTTATTAATTGATTGATAGGATCATTGGTTTAGAGCTAGATTAGACCTTTGAAGACATCTAGTCGAACCTCTTCATTTGACAAATGAGGAAACTGAGGTCCGGAAAGAGTCTGTGATTCACGCTAAGTGCACTCAGCTAGTGAGCCCCTCTGCAAACTCAGGTCCTCTGACTCCATGCCTATCATTCTTTTTACTGCATTTGACATATCTCAAAAGTCTTAAGATATTAGAGGAGTTAAATGGACCTCTTAAGTACAGAATCGGAAAATGTCCCCCTAGAAACTCAGAAGGCACTTCTTCCCTTTGACTGGGCTGAGTACAGCAGTCACCATACCTGTTGGGTGGTGGAAAGAGCCCTGAACTCTGAGTCAGCAGCTCTGGGACCTGCTACTGGCTTGGCCATGAACCCACTGTGTGATTGCAGGCAAGCCTCTTCTCTTAATCTAAGAAGATGAAATGTAATATGGACAAATGTAAAATTCTACACTTGGGTTCAAAACATCAGTTACACAAGGATAGAATAGGATAGAAGACAGAAGAATAGAGTAAGATAGAAGGATAGAATAAGATAGAAGATACAAGATAGAAGAAATGTGGACAAACAACAGCTCATGTAAAATGGGGGGGGGGACTGGATTCAGTCTCTAAGGTCCCTTCTAGCTCTGACGCTGTATCGTGAGCACTAGGCCCTGAAAAATTATCAGCACATGACATTATTAGTATGGAAAAATGGCAATGGAAGGCCCTACAGAATACCAGGTTCCTGTCCTGCTCCTTACTCCAGCCTTGTGTGGCTCTGGCGTAGCCCAGGTGCCTCTCTCTTTAACATTCACTCCTGCCCCCTGGCCCCAGCTTAAGGGAGGGTGCCTAGTCCTGGGAGCCAGGAGATTTGGATTGTAGTTCCTGGTTCTACTACTAATGCCCTAAATCAAGTCCTTTCCCTTCTCGGGGTTTCTGTTTTGTTCTGCTTAAAATGAGAGGTTTGGATTGATCATCTCTAAGGGTCCTTCCAATAATAATAATAATAATAATAATAATAATAATAATAATAATAATAATAATAATAATAATAATAATAGCTAACATTTATATAGTGCTTACCATGCACCAGGAACTGTGCTAATTGCTCTTACAATTATTAATGTCATTTTGATCCTCACAACAACTCTGGGAGGTAGGTGCTATTATGATCCCCATTTTACAGATGAGGAAACTGAGGTCAACAGGCTAAGTGACTTGCCCTAGGTCACACAGCTAGTAAGTGTCTGAGAGTGGATTTGAACTCAAGTCTTGCTGACTCTAGGCCTGACACTCTATCCACTGAACCATCTAGCTGAGAGGAACTATTAATCTCAAGGAGTTCCTAGAATAAATTCTTGTGCATAGTCAATAACCCCAAAGCCTGGCTGGCCTTGGCCCCCTGTGGAAAGAGTGAGCGATTGGAAGTCTGAGGATCTGGGTTCAAATCCTGGCTCTGCCATTTACTACCTGAGTGACACTAGGCAAATCCCCTAACCTTTCTGGGTCTCATTTTCTTTGCTTGTCAGATAAGTGTCTGTTACTAGATAACTTCTAAGGGCCTTTGTAGCTCTAATATGTTCCATGATCTCTCTTTCCAAGGCCCTTCTTTTCTCCCCTTACTAACAGCCTCATGACTGATCAGGTCAGAATGGCTTTGCTTTTGGTGAAAGGACTTTGTAAGACTTACAGTGCAAGGAGTGAGTATATATTCTTAAAATATAAGAAAGGATAATAAAAAGGGAAGTCTCATTCAAATAGTTACAAAAAGCATAAAATATCAATCTACCAAAAAGTCAGTCTACCAAGATACATTTAAGATGGGTATAAATATAATTAGGCAACATGATTTAAATAATAACTTGAATAATTGAAAGTATAACAATTGCTCATGGTTGGGCTGTGCCAGTGTAATAAATTGACTTATAGGTTTAATGTCATACCAATCAAACTGCAGAGGAGGATATTTTATGAAACTAGACAAAATAATAGCAAAATTCATCAGGAGGAACATATATTCTAGAATCTCACAAGAAATAATGGCAAAAAGTAGGAATAAAAGGGGACCTTAAATTATACTATAAAGCAATAATAATCAAAACTATTTTGTTATAGTTAAAAATAGAAAAGCAAATCAATAGAATGGACTACATAAGGAAGAACTAGAAACAATCAAAATCAATAACTCACTGTTCAATAACCCCCCAAACATAAATTACTTGAAAAAACACTCTCCATTTGACAAAACCTGCTGGGAAAACTGGAAAGCAATTTGGCAAAAATTAGGTTTAGACCAGCATCTTACCACAATGAGCTCAAATTATGCCACAATGAGCTCAAAATGAATGTACAACCTGAATATTAATTGCCTTTCTTTGTATCCCCAGTGCCTAGTACAGTGCCTGGAACAAAATAAGTGCTTAATAAATGCTTGTTGACTTGACATCGTTAAAAAAAAGAAAAATTGAAGAGAGCAAGTACATCTCAAAGCCACGGCTAGAGAAAGCATTCTTAACCAAACAAAGGATAGAAGTCATGGCCAAAATAAAATAGATAATTTTAATGATTTGACATTGAAATGTTCTAATACAAATAAAACCACGGCAGCTAGTACAAGAAGGAAAGTTGGTGACTGGGGAGCAATTCTTTGCATTGAATTTTCTGATAAAGGTTTGGTAGCCAGGATATAAAACCACTTAACAGATATATAATTATATATACATACTAGTTTATATATAATCATATACATGTAAAATCAAATGCGTAAATACACATATGCCAAAAAACCATTCCCCAATGCAAAAGTGGTCAAAGGATACAAACAAATATTTCTCAAAATAATTGTTAACTCTAAACAATCACATGAAAGATGGCTCCAAATCACTAATTACAATAAAAATGCAAATCAGAACAACTCAGAGGTTTCACCTAACATCAAGTAAATGGGCAAAGATGACAAAAGAAAAGATTAACCAATCTTAGAGGGACTATGAAAAGACAAGCACACCAATACAACATTGGGAGAGCTGCAAATTAGTCCAACCATCCTAGAAAGTGACAAAAATGTCCGTACCCTTTGGTCCAGAGATTCCACTGCTGAGTATATACACCAGGGAGGTCAAAGACCAAAACAAAGATCCCCTATATACCAAAATGTTCATGTCAGCCCTTTTTATGGTAGCAAAGAACTAGAAAGAACATAAGTACCCATTAAATAGGAATAGCTAAGCCAGTTGTGGTACATGAATGTAATGGAATATCATCATGTCATAAGAAACGACGAAAAATGAAAAATTCAGAGAAGCATGGGAAGACATAAGAAATAATGCAAGTGAAGTAAGAACCAGGAAAACAATATACACAATGACTACAACAATGTAAACTAAACAAAACAGAAAAAAAACAATAAAATCCAGGAATCGAATGTTGTGTAATTACAATGACCACGCTTGGCCTTAGATTGAAAAGAGAATATATACCTCCCTCCCACCTTTCTTTGCCCAGGTAGAGGACTGAGGATATCCAACATTGCATATGCTGTTAGGTGTTGCTACTATGTTGATTAGTTTCACTGAACGGATTTTTCCCATTTTCTTTGTTATAAGGGATGGCTCACTGGGTAGGAGAGGGAGAGGAATATATTCAGAAATGCTGGTGATGCAAAAACATAAAATAACAATAAAAATAAAATAAAATATAAGAAAGAAAAATCCGAAGAAACTAAGAGAATTTCTCCATGTAAACAGAGGTATAATTTCCAGGTTGATTTCAGAAGAAGACTCATTGGGAGCTACATCTGGTCTTCTCTTTGTATCTCAGGTACTTCACCCTGTAATTGGTATAATTAGGTGCTGAATTGAATTGAATTGAATTGTTTTAAGTGGAGGGTCTAAATAGATTTTGCTCTGGTTTTTGAGATGGGCAATACAAATGGAGTAGTAGTGTTCTGGAACCAGCTCCCATAGGTTCCCAAGAGCCAACTGTTAAATTTTCAGTGTGAATATTAACACCTCAGAATCGGCAAATGTTACAAATTAAGACTTGATTTATTTGTTTTCTTGATTTCTGACCACTAAGAAAGTGATGGAGAAAATGTTAATAATTCAGAATAAACATAAAAGTGTTTCTTAGAGTACACTTTGGGGAGTTTTGGACTGCTGGTTGTTAAACATTTACCAGCACACTCTTGGAAAAGACCCTTAAATTTATTTATGGGGTGGCTACTGACAATCACTAGCTTTGCTTTTTGTGGTATTGTTATGTGGTGGAAGCCAGCTAAAATTCACACACACACCCCAGTAAACTTCTGGTATGGTTCTAGATACAAAGAGCAGAACAAAAGTAGTCCCAAAGCTTGTTCCCAAGCTTGGGAGCTCTACAAACAGGGCTTCAGCGGGCCAGGGAGTCCCCAGCTGGCGCCTTTGGTACTCACCATCTGGATGACAGAAACGGGCCCAATGCTGTTCACGTAGATATCAACATCGATGTTGGTAGGTTTGACTGCAGGGGAAGCAAGACAAGAGAAGGTAAAAGGCCAGCAATGTCACAGTCAGAAAGGGAGATGGTGGGGAAGGAAGACCACATAAGTGTGCTTCAATCACCATACTGGTCCATCAAATATTCAAGTTGTAAAACATACTGGCTTGAATGTAAGCACCTACTATGTGTAAGACACTGTGAATACAAAAGCAAAAAACAAAGCAACCTCTCTGCTCTCAAGCAACTTGCATTGTAATAGAAAAGTCCATTTGTGACTATACAGCAAATGCAAGATGAATGGGGAGGGATTTGGGAAGGGTAGGCACCAGCAGCTGGGGGCAGCAGGTGGGGGTGAGGATGGAAATCATGATGGGCTTCATGTAGAAGGTGGTGCTTGGCCTGGATTTGAACCTGTCCTTTTGGTCTAGAAGATCTACCTTAGGTCCCAGTCTGCTGCTTGGTGACTTCTGCCTGCTAGTGCTAAGTCCCCACCACTCAGGCCCGGTTCTATCTTTCACTCTCCAGGGCTGCTCTAATCCAGTCCCACAGCCATTTGGGAAGTTTCTCTTTCTCTCCCCACTCCTTCCCTCCACTCTGGTCTAAGGAAAAAGGACAGGTTCTTCTCTGATACTTACTTCCAATGTCAGGCCTCAGCTTGCTGTCATAGTCCCTCAGAAGAGTATTCAAGATCTGGGTGGCATCAGTCTCTTGCGCCCTGGGAGTCAAGACCCAGGTCTTGTTGACACCAAGGTAATCATAGTCGTATTCCTCCGCACTGTCAGTGCTAGGGTCAAGAAACACAGGGTGAGACAAGGGCTGCTCCCTAAGATTTCTCTCTCTCTCTCAAATCCTCTTCCCCATAAAGATCTGCCTTTCTTTATCCCCAAATCTCTCAGTTTAAGTCCACGATCACCCTCCCTGCTCTCCAAAGGTATCTTCTAGCAATTGTATGCAAAATAACTTTCACACTAGTAAGTGGCTTTCAAAGTTAGGGCCCTCACTGGTAGCCGTTGCTATAGCAGCAAGAGCAAGCATTAGCCTACTTTGCAAAATTTAAAAAAAAAACCCAAATGACCAGAAGGTGATCCTAGACATACAGCACCTTACTTTTCTTGGCTGTCTTCTACAGTTTGAACCATGAGGTTCTCTCACACTTTCCACTACACCAGACCAGGGACCAAGACCAGCTAGGCTTTGGCATTATTGACTCTGCTCCAGCTGCTGAAAGAGCAGACACCTTGGAGATTCACTGGGCCTCATTGGGAGGCCAAGGCCATGCCTCCCTCTGACAAGACTAGGAAGCTAGCTAAAGGACCACCTCTAAGGGCTTTGGAAGCCCGCAAAGGGAGTCAGGAGAAAAAGGAACAAGGCAAAGGCAGATATTCAGGCAGCAGCCCCAGGTGAGCACAACCTTCTCAGGCCTCTAGGAAGAGTCAGAGTAAAACAAAATTTAGTTCGTTGATAATTGATAAGATCCAAAAAGCATTCAGTAGATGCCTACTACGTTCAAGGAACTGGCTAGATATTATTCCCTACCCTCAAGGGGGAATTTAGCATATAAAGTAAACCACAGCAATCTTCCCACAGGAACTGGCACTTGTAGAAAGCCTTGTCACCAGCCAGGGTTTCTAAGTGGCAGAGGTGGGAAGGGAGAGCCCTCCATACATAATGGAACAAAGGCAAGGTACGGAATGGCAAGTTCCCAAGGCAGCAGTTTGCCTGGAGCATAGACTATAATGGGAAAGAAACCTGGAAACGAAACGTATATAGTACTGAAACCAGTTTGTCAAACTAAGAACATTATATATTATCCTAGAAGCAAGAGGGAGCTATAGAAGGTCTTTTAGCAGGAGAGTGACAGTGGTCAGACTTGGATTGTAGGGAGATTATTTTAGCAGCTGTGTGGAGATGGATTAGAAGAGAGTGAGAGAGATTGGGAGTCTCATTAAGAGGCTGCAGCAATAGTCCAGGATAGAGATGATGAGTCTGGAAGAGGGATGGGGGCAGGGGACATAGAGAAATCTTTGCAGATCACACCCTGTACATGCCTGCTCATATTGTATAACTCACTCTGTCCTACCCAAAATGAAAAGAGGGGGCTCTTACTCACTGTGGGTCAATGACCCAGAGCCCCCATGGGGTGCCTGTGGCAGCAATGTGATCTGGGAAGAGAGGGTGGGGATGCTGGGGGAAGGATTTTCTCATGGTACCTTCACAGCTGGTATAGTGGGCACCTGGGTAAAGATTCGATTATAACTATCCCGAGGGGCCAATGTCCAGCTCAGGAGCCGGGCAGGGTGGGAACTTTAATAGCAAAAGGAGGGGGAGGAGGGGAGAAGTGTTCAGGGATGAGGGTAGGTGTGGTTGGCTTTCACAGGAGAGTGGGGTTGTGACCCATCTTCCCATCCCATGATTGATTAACTATATATGCCTTGGGGTCATACCACAACCCCTGGTAGGATAGCCCTATTTTGGAGACCACTGCTCTAGTCTATCAGCAAAGAAGAAGAGGCCCCTTGTTGAGAGGGAGCCTAGGGGGCTTGATGGAAGATGAAGAGGGTTGGAACAGCTGCTGTGGAGAACCTCATATAGAAAGAGCAGACAATTCTTAAATTTTCAGTTTTTTATTTGAAATCTTCACCTTTATGATACTAAAGGCCTTCTCCAATACGTCATCATGGCTTGGAAGTAAGCCTGGGTAAAGGAAGGCTAATCCATCACAATGAAGGCCTCGAAAAACTTACCCAGCAGCCTGGTGAAATGTGAGGGTGGCTCAGTAGCAGGTCAGTTACCAGGGGATAAAGGGTTGGGGTCAGAGCCACTCACAAGCACCATCTCCCAAGGCATTGCAAGACTTTGGATCTACATTGCTAGAAGGGTGCCCTCACTGATAAATTATGGCTCTTTTGAAGTATATGTCACTCATCTCTTTGGAGGGATCTGCTCTCTCAGCCGTCCTGTTCTTTTATTAGTAAAAAGCAGTAATTAGCCAGCTCGTGTACATTATCTTGGAGCTATCAGTCACTGGTGTAGGTCTACTCATTTGGTGGCAGATAACAGCACTGTGGGCCTAGACTGGCAGGAGGAAATTAGCAGCTGCTGGGGGTAACCACTGTGCAAACCGAACCTATTTCAGGGATGGAAAACTGAGTGGAGCTCAAAGTACCTGTTTCCTCATCCCTGGCAGGGGGAAGGAAGTAGGGTAGAGATGCCAATCTAAATTGGCCTAGGGTGTTTTGAGATCAGATGTATGAGAATACCTAAGGTGTGCAGAACCAGATCTCAAACCAGGCTTTGCTCTATCCCCGGGCTTCTCCTTTGCCACCTTGGAGGGCACCACTGGTGGTACAGCATGTTCTAGGAGAAAATAGGGTCTCACTCCCTCACCAAATGGCTATCAGCCAGAATTCATGGGATGGCCAAGAGGAAGCCTTCCAGTTCAAATCACTGGCCCAGAAGGGTGAGTATATATGTGGGGACCCACTCAGATACCCCAGCAGGAAGGCCAAGTGTAAACGTCTCCCTCCTAGGAAGAGGGTGAGTGCAGGAGCAGGTGGGTGCCCAGGGCCAGGGTTATCCACAACAGCTTGGGCAGCAAAGCTCTGAAGCTCTTTGGCAACGCTTGATCTGCTCCATTGGTGGACTAACGGATGGCTGGACCATTGCTAGAGTGTCAAACTAGAGATGGCACCGGCAATAAGGAAGGTAAAGTCCTTCCCACTCTCCACACCCTACCTGGAAGGGTCTCCCCAGGGTTTTGAAGCCTGCCATTCCAGAGCTGTCTAAAATGATGGTGATCAGGGCCTTAGAGGAGCAAACAGTCCTAGCCCAGGGCCAGACAGGATAAAAATCAATCAGAGCAAAGGCACTGCAGAGGGTGGGACAAGGACAGGGGAGGGAGGGGGTTTGCAAGCCCAGAGCTCAGGAAGATTCTTAGCGGGCAGCCTATGCCCTGGAACAGCAACCTGCCCAGCCTCTGGAGGGCCCTCTTGAGCTCCAGACCCATCCAGCTCAGGATGCCAGGCCACAGCCTAGCCTGGTGCAACAGTCACACCCAGAGGAGCCCCTAGCCTTCCCATCCCTATCCCAGTCCCGTCCCTGTCCCAGTCTTTGCCTGCATTGGTAATGGGATTTGATGGGCATTAAGTTGCCTTATTCTGCCAATTAGCTCCAGCCAGTAAAATCCCACTTCCCTGGAGCCCTGAGGGTAATGATCTGCTGACAACATGTTCTTTCCCGATCCAGCCATTAAGCTCACTAGCAGGGCTAGGAATAGTAAAAAACTTGAAAATCCGTGTGCTCTGGACTCTAGGAGCTGTTGACAGCAAAGGCTGGCCTCAGTACAGAGCTGGCATCTGCACCTGCCAACCCCACCCTAAGAACGTCAAGGGGAGGGGGGAGAGGCAAGGGGGCCCTACTGGGGAAGTGGGAGGGAGAGAGGCTAGAGAGCAACAGGCCGATGGCCAGCCAGGTACCTCTGGCAGAGCAGGGAGCACCCTAGCCTCCCTTTCAGGATCTTAAAGTCCCATGATAGACGTCTTAGTAAAGTCTTACTCCCCCACTACTGAACTTGGGGTCCAGCTAGCTACAGGCCTCTCCCTGTGGGAGGGCAGGTGAGCCCAGGGCAGGCAAAACCTCCTAGTCCACTCTCCCTCAGAGACACTCAGGTGAACCAGAGGAGGTGCCGAGACCTGGTGACCCACATCCCCCCAGCCTGTCCTTCACCCAACATTGTGGGTGTGGGGGGTGGTGTGCGGGTTGTACCTAAGCAGTTTGCGGGTCCCAGCCAGAGAGATTGGTGCTTTGAACAACTAAATGGGCACACAGGAGGAGACAAGACTAAGGCTCGTCTGGTGGGGAGTTTGGCTGGGCACATGCATCCAAAGCCTCCCTTTTTAAAGGGAGGGAGCAAGGCAAAGGCCGGCAGGGTCAATCTGTGCTCCCCCTGCAAACTCAGAGGGCCAGGGGAAGAACCGAGGGGAGACTAACAATCCGAAGGCAGCTCCGCCACTGCACCCACTTGGAGAATGTGGAAATGAATTCTAGGCGCCGCCGTTTGTGGCTGGAGGAAGCAGAAAGGATGCACATTCCCGCCCCCTCCCCGCCTGCCCTCCCAGCCAGAGGCTTGGGAGAAAGTCTCTATGAGGATGGGTTGGGATGGGATGGGAGGGAGAGATGAGCGAAACCTGGGGCATAGGCGCGCTGGTGGGTATGGGGGCAGGCACGGCCGGGCACGGGGCTGGGCGGCGGGCTGGTGAGGCCCCCCGCCACGCAGGCAGGAAAAAAAGCAACGCGGCCACAGAGAAGGAGCTGTCGCCCAGTGACATTACCGCACTGTTTGGAAGCTATTCCCCTTCCTCCTTTCTCATTCCCTCCCCAACTCAGCTTCGGACTTCTTGGTAGCTGGGAGACTGGACCTCTGGAGTCCCCCCCGCTTGGCCCCAGGACAACTCTCCCCTGTTTCCCCAGCTCTCCCGTTATCCGAATCCCCTGCCTTAAGCTGGGGAGGCCAAGAGGGGCAGGCCACTTGGGGCCAGCCGGATTGGGCTTCACAGGGCTTCCCTGTCGTTGCTCTCCCTGACTTGAGAGGACGTTTTCGCCCCCCATCCTTAATCCCCCACCAAGGCATCAGGCAGACCCTTCATTAGGAAAACAAGGAAGCCATCAACTGGGAGGCTGGACTCAGTTTCCCCACTGGTAAAAATGAGAGGTAAAATTATTTTTAAGGGCTCTCCCAGGACTAGGGTGTTATGAGAAATGGAGAAGGACTCGGGACAGACAAACAGGGTCAGAATAGGGGAGATGGGAGTAGAGGGGGTGACAGGAGAGAATGATTAGTTTTTATCAATTTCTCTCCTTGATGAAAGGGGTAGGATGGGGTGGGATGAGATGGGATGCTGGGGTCTGAATGTGAAAGTCAATCCTCTCACCTGATTTGGAGGGCCGGGTAGATGGCCAGGTATATCAGGAGAAGTTTGCCAGACATCTTAGAGACCAGAGGCAGACCCTGTCTCTGAGGCAGAATGTCCACAGAGAGAGAGAGGCTCAGCGTGAGGTTTGGGTTTTGAAAGGATCCCAACTCTCCCCCCACCTCCTCTCCCCTCCCCTCTCCTCCTCCTCCTCCTTCCCGCCTCCTTCCCTCCCCCCGTCTCCTTCACCCAATGGAAATCACTAGCGTCCAAGGGAGCTGCGGCTGGGGGGAGGGGGGGAGTGGGAGTCAGGTTGGAGATAGGGAGGGAGCCCACTGAGTTAAGGGAAGGAGGAGGCAGAAAGCCTAAGGAAGTGGCCTTTTCCCCAAAGGGCAGCAGCCCCCAAAAGGCGACTCCAACTTCAGAAGGGAACATAGCCACTGGGAGACTCTGAGCTGGGCAAGGGCTCCCACGCCGTTCCGCAGCCCTCTTCTTCCCTAGGCGCTGCTCCCACCCCCCACCCCCGGGCCGGGGCTGGAGCCGGGGTCGGGAGGGGCGCGGGGTGGCAGCACTCACCAGTGGCCAAGTTTCTCCTGGCAGGAAAGCCCCCAGCCCGAGGCCCGGGTGTCTGATCCTCCCTCTGTGTGCTCTCCGCACTGGCAAGCAGCAGTTGGGTCCCTGCGGCCCCCAACGCACACAGGTGCGGGCAGACAGAGCTGCTCCCACCAGCAGCCCCACCGGTTGCTGAGGCAGTGCCCGGTCCAGGCGCGTGTCCCTCCTCCCTTCTGCCTGCCCCTCAGCGCTTGTTTCTGCCTGCGCTCCTCCCCACACTCGCAAGTCCTCCCTCCTCCCTCCCGAGCCCTGGCCAGCCCCCCTTTGACATCTATCTAGAGACAAAAACAAAAGTTGGGCATTTCTTAACCTACTCCTTGGCAGAAAAGGAGCAGGGTAACACACACACACACACACACACACACACACACACACACACACACACACACACACTGGCACGCGAGCGCGCGCGCATACACTCACACACACTCACACGGGAGAGGGAGAAAGTGATGCTACAAGGCTTCTTCCCAGGGTCCTAAGTCCCTCCTTTTTTCCAGTAGTTTTTTGGAAGTCTTTGCATTTCTGAGACGATAAAGGAGTTAAATAGCCCCGGGGTCCCCCCCTTTTCCCTCAGAGGCATTTGCTAAAGGGTTAAAGTCACCACTAATGGACAGAGATGTGTCGACACCCACCCCCCATTCTCCCACCGAGAGGATATACGTGTCCACACTAAGCCGGGGAAAATTTCTGAACGCGTGTGAAGGGCTCCATCCCTCCTGCTCCCAGTAATACTGCTTGGCATTGCAGGGTGAACTGAACCGTCCTTAGGCTGCGTCAGGGTCAGAGAGCCCAAGGAAACAGGGGGCTGGGAGGGACCAGCCTTGGTGCCTGTGCTCGGACTGGGTGCTGAGAACATCTGGGCCCACACCAGGCTCACCTCCTTAGCGTGACTATGTTTCACATCTCTCCCTGCACTCATGATGGGGCTTGGGGTGTGTGTTGTGTGTGTGTGTGTGTGTGTGTGTGTGTGTGTGTGTGTGTGTGTGTGTGCGCGTGCCATCAAGCGTGTGTCTACACTGATAGCCGCCTACGCCTGAAATCAGACAGGTTCAGAGATTGGGAGTTGGAAGAGACCTGTGAAATCCTCTAGGGTAGGAGATCTTAACCTGGGCTTCATAAACTAGGGTTTTTAAAAAATACGTATTTTGGTAATTAGATTTCAATATAATTGTTTCCCTTAGTAATCTCATGCGTTTAATTTCCTCATTTAAAAACAGGATTTTGAGCAGGAGTCCATAGGCTTCAGCAAACTGCCAGAGGGACAGAGCGAAAAAGGGGTACACAATAGCTTAGGAATCCTTGATCTAATCCAGGGGTGGGGAACCTGTGTCCTTGAGGCCCTATAGGTCCTCTAGTGCGGCCCTTTGACTGAATCCAAACTTCCCAGAACAAATCCTCTTCATAAAAGGATTTGTTCTGTCAAACTTGGACTCCATCAAAAGGCAGGACCCAAGGACCTAGAAGGCCACAAATTCCCTACTCCTGAATCCAACACCCTTGTTTCACAGGGGTGGGGGCACCTTGCTCATGGCCCCATGAGGAAGATCTGTCTGCACAGCAGAAAGCGCTACTTCCCACGGTACCAAGGCTCCTGTGTTGAGGTAGTTATGTCCCAAGACCCTCTTTGACGTGCTTCCTGGAACTGAGAAATGTGAATTATGGGTCAATGTAAACTGAAGGATGGTGACAGTCATCTGGCCAATGCATGTCAAAATTTAATGTTAACACTGATAAAAAAAAAAAAGCAATCGTAAGCACTAAGCAAAGAGGTGACCAGGTGTAGGGATACTGATCTGACTATGAAATCCCATCCTCACTCACAAATCTTTCATGGCTCCCTGTGGCCTTTGGAATAAGGGAAGGGGAAGGCACTGTGCTGAGTGATTTATAAATATCTCATTTGATCCTCCCAATATCTCTGAGCGACAAGTGCTGTAATTATCCACATTTATAGCGTGCTCCCCCCCCCCCATGGTTAGGTGACTTGCCCAGAGTCACACAGCTATTAAGTATCTAAGGCCAGATTTGAACCCAGGTCTTCCTGGCTCTAGGCCCAGTGCCCCATCCACTGTATCACCTTTCTGTCTCTATTATAAATCCCTAAACCTGGCCTGCAAATTAGTTTAATCAGAGTTTGGAAGCTTAGACATAAAAAATGGTTTCACTGCAGAATAGGAGATTATTGTGCCCAGCTCCTATTTCTGACCTGCTGTGGGCAGGCAGTTTACACTGGCTCTGTGTGTGTGTGTGTGTGTGTGTGTGTGTGTGAGACCCTGGGCAAGTCACTTAATCTTTTAGTGCTCTAGTCAACTCTGTATGACTAAACTACAGAGAAAGGGCCCAATTGCATTGGAAGAGGAAGTTTCCTCTCTCCTGGGAGTTCCCTATCCCAGTGAAATCTCAGGTCCAGCCCCTAACCTTATCCTAATAATTATCTTGTCTAAAGACTGTGCTAAACACTTGTTAACATCTTGGCAAAGAACCTAGATCTGTTTGTAAGCAGGCAGCAAACGAGGCAGATATTTGTCTAGCAAACACAAGTGCAGATGATGAGAACTAAAGGGAGGATTCTGGGAATTCAACCCACTAACAACAGGGACAGGCCCACCAAGGTTTCCCAGTGGTTCTATTCTCAGGTGGGCATCAGAGGCCTAGGCATGCATCTAGGCACCACTTCCTGCAGGACATCTGAAACTTGATGCCCTCAAGACATCCCAAGCTGAGCTCACTATCTATTTTTCCCCTCCAGCCTGATCATCCCTTCCACCTTTCCTCTTTCTGTGTGGTCCTACTGCTCACCCTCCAGTGCTTGGAACTTTGGCCTTCTTCCTCTCTCCCCTTGAACAGTCAATCAGTACTGTCTTATCCATTTCAGCCCCCCGCCCCCATCTCTTGTAGCCATTCCCTCTTCTCTCTTCCTTCTGTCCCCATTCTAGTTAAGGCCTTCATTTATACCTGCCTAGATTATTGCAATAACTTCCCTGTAGATTTTTATAATTCCACTCTCCCCCCTCCCAGTCCATCTTTCACGCCATAGTCAAACTACTCTTTCCTAGGCATTCATAATAAATGTTTGATGAACTTTCCTTGCTTGGCAATAGGGACACATTGCTGATTTCTGAGCACAGGAGTGATGAGCGAACTCTGTTCAGTTCTTTGAAACCTAATGCCAGCTATCCTTTCCAAGTTTAGTTTCTCTTACCCCAGCTTCCCTCCACGTGCCGTATAGCCCAATCAGCCTGTACAATTCTTAGCCCCCATATACATCCTATGCCTTGAACACCCTTCTTCCCTTTCTTCCCCTGGTGAACTCCAGCCCATCCTTTAAAGCTCACTCAAATGATACCCCTCAAGGACACCTTCCTCCTCTCTTCCATACCCCCACTTCTCGTATCCTCTGAGACCTCCCAGGGTGCTTAGTTCTTCACTTCTCTCCACCTATCCTGGAAGAGTGATTATTAGAGCTGCCTGCATTGGCTTCAGACATCCCCCTGGCCCTTCCCAGGGAGGAAGGATTCTAAGTGAGTCAGGACCTTGCACGTAATGCATGTAAACTCTGAGGCTCCAACCCCCAGAACCCCAATCAACCACCATAGGGTTTTTTTTTATACAGCAGAGTGTTTTAAATAAGAGATGGGTGCCAGCTGTGAGAACACTTGGCCCTTTATTTTCTCCCTCAGAATGCCATGTATCATACATGTGTGCACACGTATTTACGAGGATGTGTGTGCAAAGAAGCGCTCGTGTCCCCTCTCTCTGGTAACTAAAGAATGAAATTTGGCATTTCACCTGGGACTATTAGGACTCCTGGTCCAGCAAGTGTCTGTTTCCAGGGGATGTCTACAAGTGTGTGTGCCTGTGTGTACCTGTCTGTGTGTATATCCCTACATTAAGGTCTTCCTCAGATGGCCCTCCCCTCTGGGCATGGTGACCACGGGGGCCAGGTATGAAGGTTAGGTAGGCAAGGGATGTGTACAAAGATCCATCGGGCTGGGCCGAGTCCTCCCCAGCTGTACTTACGTTGCCCAGGGAGCAGGCCAGCCACAATAAGTGTTGAAAGCTGCATTGCCATGTCAGCTTAGCCGACAAGGGGGAAAATGGTTCTTTGGCTGAAGGTCACTGTGTCCTCGGTGCTAGAGGGGCTGGGAGCTCTGACCAGCCACGCTCTTGCAATGCCTCATCATTGGAAGGAATGCTGCTGCTGCTGCTGCTGCTGGTAGCTGCTGTCATAGCAATTGGAGGTTTACAAAGCACTTCACCTATATTTAATCCTCACAGGGGTGCTATGAGGTAGATATAGGCAGTGTTATCCTGCTACCTAAGTGCTCACAGGGGATGCAGTATTAGCTTTGGGGCCATGAAGACTGGAGTGCAAATTCTGCCGAACACTTAATAGCTGGGTGACCTTGAGCAAGTCACTTAACCTCAGTCTGCTTCAGACTGTAAAATGAGAATAATAATAATAGGATTTATTTTGCAGGGTTTTTATGAGGATCAAATAGAGTAATAAATGTGAAGCACATCGCCAACTTTAAAGCACTATATAAATGCTGGCTGTTATTATCCACATTTTACAGATGAGTAAACTGAGGCTCAGAGGGGTGGAGTGACTTGCCCAGGGTCACCTAAAGTGTAAATGTAAGTATGAAATGAAGATCATAGGCCAGTTCTCAAATCCGGTTCTTTCAATTCAGAACCAAAAACTTGACTTGAACCACTGCTAGACCATAATTAAGCAAACAATGGCCAAGAACCCCCTTTGAGAAGAGCAGCAGTGGGAAATAGTGGGGTGGGGTGTCAGCAATGCAGTCATAAGCCCTGAGTTGCAGTCCCTCTGTCACTTACTGCCCGGCTTCCCTCCACATGCCATATACCGCCATTGGTGTTGGACTTGCCCACCTCCCTCATACCCCATATTCATTCAGTTGTCAAATCTTGTCCATTCTACCTCCACATCCATTCCTTTCTCTCTACACCCACATGGCTAACACCTTAGTTCAAAACTTCAGCAATTTTGGCTCACATTATTGTGATAGCCTCCTGGTTGGCCTTTTTGCCTGTCTACTCCAGGGTCCACATAGTGGCCAAAATAATCTTCCTGTGGTACAAGTTGGACCAATGTCATTCCCCTGCTCCA